AACTTCCTGCGCAAGAGAATTCACATCTGTGGATGTAGAAAAATCCTGCTAGTTTGTGTAGTCTGCTGCTCAGATTGTTCCACCAATATCGTTATCAATCTATAAATTCCCATCTGTGGATGGAGGAGGTATAGAAGGCTACTTATATTGATGCAATTTTTGATCAAACTGTCGTCTTAAGATCTCTCATACAAACTGAGCAGCTGTGGCTTGCCCAATTTGCACAGTAGATCCCAAAACTTGATCAAAAAACTTTGTATGATCGAGCAGTGATACTATATGCCCTGGATCATACTTAAACAGATAAAATATGCAAGAAAATTTCATGTTGCAGCTTTATCAAATAACAGAAAATTTATATACAGATTTGTTGAAACATGGATTAGATTAAGAAACAAAGCCTAGAGCTCTGATACCACATGTAAAACTATACTAGGTCTTTATAACTTAACACTAACCTTGTTCAGACATCTTGATTTCTGAAGGGATCGGCTTAGCTTCTGAGAGGATCTTCTTCTCTATGCAACACCGTAGGCTATTTCTCTAGATGGGGTGAGAGCTGAATTGAGCGTATCTTGTTGCTAGAGAAGGGACCTCTTTATATAGATGCATTACTCGAAAGCCTTGCCCATCAAGGAGCTGTCGAGTAATCTGTTTGCATTAGGAGTGGTTTGTTCAATCCATATAGGATTAGGAATTCTATTACTCTTGTATTTCAATTAGAATAGCTTCTGTACAAGAGTAATCTGATAAGTCTGAGTCTATCTCCTAATCATGCCAACCTCTCGAGTCCTCATTAGATTAGAAGACCACAATTCGTGGTTAAGACAAAAGATTGTCTTACATTACATGTAAAACTATACTAGGTCTTTATAACTTAACACTAACCTTGTTCAGACATCTTGATTTCTGAAGGGATCGGCTTAGCTTCTGAGAGGATCTTCTTCTCTATGCAACACCGTAGGCTATTTCTCTAGATGGGGTGAGAGCTGAATTGAGCGTATCTTGTTGCTAGAGAAGGGACCTCTTTATATAGATGCATTACTCGAAAGCCTTGCCCATCAAGGAGCTGTCGAGTAATCTGTTTGCATTAGGAGTGGTTTGTTCAATCCATATAGGATTAGGAATTCTATTACTCTTGTATTTCAATTAGAATAGCTTCTGTACAAGAGTAATCTGATAAGTCTGAGTCTATCTCCTAATCATGCCAACCTCTCGAGTCCTCATTAGATTAGAAGACCACAATTCGTGGTTAAGACAAAAGATTGTCTTACATTACATGTAAAACTATACTAGGTCTTTATAACTTAACACTAACCTTGTTCAAACATCTTGATTTCTGAAGGGATCGGCTTAGCTTCTGAGAGGATCTTCTTCTCTATGCAACACCGTAGGCTATTTCTCTAGATGGGGTGAGAGCTGAATTGAGCGTATCTTGTTGCTAGAGAAGGGACCTCTTTATATAGATGCATTACTCGAAAGCCTTGCCCATCAAGGAGCTGTCGAGTAATCTGTTTGCATTAGGAGTGGTTTGTTCAATCCATATAGGATTAGGAATTCTATTACTCTTGTATTTCAATTAGAATAGCTTCTGTACAAGAGTAATCTGATAAGTCTGAGTCTATCTCCTAATCATGCCAACCTCTCGAGTCCTCATTAGATTAGAAGACCACAATTCGTGGTTAAGACAAAAGATTGTCTTACATTACATGTAAAACTATACTAGGTCTTTATAACTTAACACTAACCTTGTTCAAACATCTTGATTTCTGAAGGGATCGGCTTAGCTTCTGAGAGGATCTTCTTCTCTATGCAACACCGTAGGCTATTTCTCTAGATGGGGTGAGAGCTGAATTGAGCGTATCTTGTTGCTAGAGAAGGGACCTCTTTATATAGATGCATTACTCGAAAGCCTTGCCCATCAAGGAGCTGTCGAGTAATCTGTTTGCATTAGGAGTGGTTTGTTCAATCCATATAGGATTAGGAATTCTATTACTCTTGTATTTCAATTAGAATAGCTTCTGTACAAGAGTAATCTGATAAGTCTGAGTCTATCTCCTAATCATGCCAACCTCTCGAGTCCTCATTAGATTAGAAGACCACAATTCGTGGTTAAGACAAAAGATTGTCTTACAATACATTATTAGCATAAAAAATCTGTGCCATAGAATTAATTTTGGCTCTGTGATCGGCAATCTTATGAAAATATGAAGTGTTACCGTCACCAGAACGTTGGCGCCAATATAGTTCATTGAGTTCCAGTAACCTGTCGAGCTCATTTGCAACCAATTTTTCTGGAGAATGGCTTCAGAGGGGGCAGAGATTGAATTTTGGAATTCATATGACTGAATTTTTAACTTTTCCACTTTGATAGGCACTTAGCATAGATGACAAGATTAGTCGTAGAAGATTCCTGACAATGCCACCCTTCTTGAATTATTCTTTAACAATCTTCATTAGTTGTCCATTGTTCCTCAAATTGAAAACGACGTGTACTCCGATGACACCAAACATCAACACTAGGCCGTACGTCGGGGAGGAGAAAAATTGGGTGATGATAAGAAGAATATGCTGAAAGATGGTAGATGGTGAAATTGCCTTACTGCTGGAACAAGGCTAAATTACTAAAGCATCTGTCTAATCGCGCTTGAACATTGGCGTTATCTTTGTGCTTGTTTGTCCAGGTAAAAGGATGACCCAAAAAATCAAATGATAACAGATTACAGGCGTCAATTACCCGTTGAAAATCTTCGATTTAACCGACGAAGCAGAGACAAGGGCCATTTATTTTGTCCACAGACAGAATCTCATTGAAGTCACCGCAACACATCCATGGACCAATATCCACCTAACTCAAACGACAAAGAAGCTCCCAAGAATGAATCTGTCGAGTAGGGTCAGGATGACCATAGAACCCAGTCATAATTCGTGTAACAAAGGAATTAGGAAAGGTAACCCGAGCATCAATATGTCCCAAAGAGGATGAGAGCAACACAACTTGTAAACCAAACTTCCAAAGAATACAGAGACCACCAGAGAACCCTTCACGGGAAACACAGAGGACTCCACCCACACCAAGTCTTCGGACCAACCCTTCACGTAATTTGGACAGCAGTTGTACGAGTCTCAGTAAGAAAAATAATATCTAGTGTTTTGTCTTGTAAGAGGTTTCTGAGATCACGGAACGTACGATGGTTAATACATTCATAGCAGAGACTAGAATTTCCAATCAAACCACCGAGCCAAGATGAATATAAAAACCACAACATGCGAAGGAGAAAGATAGAGACAGGAGAGCAAAAATCCAAAGAATTACCATAACACTAGCAAGCTTAGGAAAACACCAGTAGGAACCCAGAGTCACAGAGAGTGAAACTAGTTGGTGGGTGGCGCGAGGGTGGGTCGAGTGCAGAGAGCCCTAATTCCGACTGTGCTCACAATCGATACCAAACCAAACCAATAAAATCTCAAGGGACCAGTCGATTAGCACCTGTGATGAGCCGGAGTGGAGAAGGGAGAGATAAACCTAGTCGCTCGTGGCAAGTCGTAAGGCGAGAAGGAGAGATGATGACGACACCTATCGCGGGCAAAGGAGGAATGACAGCGACTGGACGCATGGGCGGTGGCTAACCTTGAGGGGGAACCCTATATATGACGTGCGGCTCTCCTTGCTTAGCAAGAGAGCGACCCTGGGAGCTAATTTTCTGTCTTTATTTGTATTGTTATGGCTTGGTTTTTTCAAGCTTGATCTATTTTTGGTTATTCTGAGTTTGCACTCTTAGTTAGGATGCTTATTGTAAAAAAATAGTCATGAATATAGTATTAATCGTAAAAAAAGGGTATAGTATTAATTAATAGATACAGATGTTATAATATAAATAGATTGGTAACATGCAAGGACTTCTAGCTCAAGTGATAATCGTCACACCAAAGAATTTCTAAAAAATATAACCTCGTAGCTAGTACCCAGTAGCATATATAAGAAATTTTTCTCAATGTGTCCCTCACCTCACACCTCCTTGTGTTACTAGTTCTTTTCTTTTTTTGTCGAAATTGTGTTACTAGAACCACATGATTAATTAATTAGGGACCTAGGGTATAGTATTAAATAAGAATGCTTCCATTCACACCTCCTTGTCATATTTTCCCACACACTATTTGATGAAAATTTTAATGAGCAATTTGAGAGAACCTGGACGCTTAGACGTCTAGATTATATTTGGTAGCTCAAGAAATCCAACATACATTATTAATATTGCTTAAGAGTTGAAAGAGGTACAGAATCATTGGCTTTATCTGAAGTCCTGCAATATAAGGAAACAAGTAATGGTAGTAACTTTTGTTTTTACTGAGTATATATGCTACGGACATCAAAATAAGTTATAAAATTTTGTTTGTATATTTAAGCATATTTTTAATTTCTTTTATTTCTTAAGAGAAAAAAAAAAATTTGTATTTCCAACAAGGTACTAGCGTGTCCCTGTAATATATCAACTAGGTGAATAAATATTGGAAGAAAATCATCGTGAGAATGATTGATTCAGACTCTTAGTCCTTTCGGTTCATTCTTATTGTTTTGATTACAAGTTAGTAAACATGTCATTATTATCTAAAGGATCACTAAATATTATTCCCCCAACATGACATGACAAATTAAGCTTTGGATTAGTACCCAAATGTGACTTCATAGTTAGTAGCATATCCTTTGATACTCAGAAGGCTCAATTAGTCTTACTCAACATTAATGCCATTTAACAAACTTGAACAAGCAGGAAAGCAGAATGCTGGTAGAAGTTAGGGAAGTGGAAAGTCGGTGAACGAAAATAAATACCATTTGAACTGCAAAGCCGGTGAGCATGTTGCCTCTTGGTACTAAGATCCTTTTCAATCTTAATGAAGTTGACATCAATCCCTCAATTAATAATTAAGTGCAAGCACATGAGCCTCCTAAAACAGTTCATCTAACTTACTATAAATAAGAAGGTTGCTGGAACTGATAAAAAGCACCAAAGCCAGCTTAACCAACTTGTAAAAGTTGGATTTACTACTTCTATACCATTTTAGTGTTGCAGGGTTTTTCAATGCAGACCCGTCTTGCTTTCCAAAGGGCCCTTCTGGGTCTCTGGTTGTGCTTGTTTGCTGTAAGCTTCTGCTACAGCAATGCAGAGACTATTGAGGAAGCTGGAGAACAAGCACTAGACAAAGCTTATTCAGGTGAGATATATAATATATATAGAGTTCTTTCATCAGACCTCCGCACATTATTACCTTGCGGATGCCATTGTAAACATGGAGGAGAACAAAGAGGGGTAGTAGAAAATACATGGCGTCCGCACGGTTAAAACGTCCAGAGGTCCACATAGGAGAAAATCTGTGTGTATATATATATATATATATATTTATATGTGTGTGTATGTAATTATATATGTGTGTGTATGTAATTATATATTAGTTTTAGGCTACTTGATTACACTACAAATTTTCTTTTAGAAGGAAGCTACTTACGCTACTTGACAGCTCTCGCAATGTAGCACAATACAGTAACAAAAGTTACAAAACAGGCCCCTTCATTGCTCCTCATTATTTTGAATTACTTACTGAAATCTCTAGGTTTTGTTTTGTTTTGTTTTTTTGTTAATTGTTTTTCTGATAAGTAACATTCTTCTGCATCTCTTTGTGCACATGTCCAAATTGAAGAGCTGCAAACAGAGGCTGCAGAGCTCAATGAAGAAGGGAAGTTTGTCTTTAAGAAACACCCTCTACCTAAGATTCCAATTGTAAAGAAGCCATTTCCACCAAAGCCCTTCTTCAAGAAGCCACTTCCACCACCAGTTCCAATCTTCAAGAAGCCACTCCCTCCACCTGTTCCAGTCTTCAAGATTCCACCCTTCAAGAAGCCGGGTCATCCGCCGATACCAGTTGTGGAAGGAAAACCATTTGTAAAGAAGCCATTTTCTCATCCCCTTCCAAAATTCAAGAAGCCATCTCTACCTCCTGTTCCAATCTATAAGAAGCCACTTCCTCCACCAATTCCCGTATACAAGAAACCATTTCCCCATCCTATTTTCAAGAAGCCACTTCCTCCACCCATTCCAACATTTCCTCCACATCCTTTCCTTGGGAAGCCACTCCCTCCTCTGGTTCCCTAAAGCTAGCCTAGTGTTCTTTCACCTAAGCCCATATTGTTAAGGGATGAAAGCATAGAAGTTATGCATTGGTTAGAATGAATTACTACATGGAGAGAGAAAGAGACACACAGAGAGAGAGAGAGAGAGAGAAGAAAGATGACAACGGAAGAAGAGACTGTTCTTAGAAGTTGGAACTTTACTATCAACTTTTGCATTGTAATATTTCTACATGTATTGTAATATTTCTGCTTGTTCTTGCTGTTATATGGCTACTGTGTAATACCAAATTTGCATTTTATCAGTTCAAGGAAATATTTTTCATTAATTCCAAAGAATCAACCTCAAGCCCTCAGCACATAAGACTTTTTCTGGATTAATTAGTACTCAAATGGTGAATTGTCAAGCCAATGGGTCCATAGCTCAATGGTAAGAGCATTTGTTTGTAGATTAGTGACCTCAGGTTCGAACCCTAAACACAATGACACCTCCCCTTCCAAACTTTGACAACAAAAAAACGGTGAATTGTCAAAGGGAAAGAATCACACTAAACCTACTTGATTAAGGACCAGTTTAATCATTACCCTAATTCTAAGTCCTTAGTGAAACTGTGTTCTCAATCTTGGCATCTCAGAGCATTCACAATGGGCTCCTTAAATCACCTTCTTAGATAAATTTTAGGGAGGAATTGGAAAAATACAACTATTCCAACCATGCTCCCTATCCACCTCCTAAAATAGGGAGACCTATATGAGCTCTTAAATTTGAGGAGAGAGGAAGGACTCCCTAGTGTGGCTTCCTATAATTTAATGCTGCTTTATTTAATAAGAATTCAAACCTTTAATTAATGGTAACTTTTTTTTTATATATATATTTTTTAATAGAGTTGGACCAATTAAAAAAGAGTTGTAGCATTTATGACTCCCTAAACTAGAGAGCATGATTGGAGTTTAAATTTTATAGAAAGCTCCTAAAATAACTTTTATATGTTTTTTAGCTAAAATTTAACTAAAAAATAGAGAGCATGATTGTACTTTGCCCTTCATTATGGCAAAATTCTAAGATGCATTTGAGGAATATAATTATCATTGAGATTATGTTTTTAACTAAAATTTAACTAAAAATAGAGAGCATGATTGTACTTTGCCCTTCATTATGGCAAAATTCTAAGATGCATTTGAGGAATATAATTATCATTGAGATTTCAATTTTCAGTACAGGAATGTGAGCAATTACTCTCTCTACGTAGAGCTTGTATAAATAGGGAAAAGCATCAATGGGTACTGAATTTGCATAAGCTTTGTTATGATAGCGAACCAAACTACCATGCAGAGTTGAATTATATATGGACTTATTAGCACAGCTGTTAACCTGGACTTTTCTTGCCTTATCTCAAGTCCTGCAAGAGCTATCTCTATTAATGCATCTGGAAAGTAAAATACAAATGGAAGTAATTGTTTTTGACTGTGTATAGTAATTGTTTGTGTTCATTCATAACTGAGTAAATACACTTTGGGAAAGATTTTGGTGACTCGGAATATTGTTGGGAAGCTTTAGCATCCAACCTCTTTTTCCTCAATTTGTCTCCCAACTTTCTCACGCTAGGATATTATGGGCCCAGTTGGATAGATATTGAAGAAATAATTCGATTTAAGTATCACCAACTGTTCTACTTCTCCCTTCATACCTTCTCCTCTTTTCCCCAATTTTTGGAGACAGAAGGTTTCCTCTATTTGTCTTCATTTTGTAATGATTTTCCTACACTCATCACATGCGGATGCGTTTTGGCCTCAGATTTCCACCTGCGTTTCGGTGTTGGATCTCTACCACAATCATTTTTGCGGTTTCTTTATGTTTGGAATAAGTCGCAGAGACTCTTTAGGTTTTGTGTAGTTTTTGTAGTTTTCATCTCTCCTTTTGTGAGAGTTTTTCACATCTCCTTTGTGAAAACTTTCCACCTCTATCCTTCGTGAGGGTGTTTTTTTTTTGTTTTTTTTTGGAGAAGATGATGGATTTCATTAGATAATCAAAGTATTGCAAGGATAAAGCATGTATAGAGTGGCCTCGTTAAAACCTCTATGAGGAAAACCCAATGGGACAAAGCCTCAGAACAGGAAAGTGTACCACACACGCCGAGACGACAAGAGAGTCAAGCAACAGTACACTCAGGAGAATCCTCATTTAGACAATCCTGTAACCAAAGAGGTGGGTCAGAAAACCAAAAAGCTAAAGCTTCTTGACCAAGACACAGGGGAGCAAGGCGAGGAGCCGGTGAATATCTTCGACTAGAGCCCCTTCTGCCGCATAACAGGGATCTTCCTGAAGGATCAAATGGATGGCGGTCAAAGAGTCATACTAAAAAATGAGAGGCGTAAGAGAAGCATCCACTGATAGGATTTTTAGTACCTGCGCAAACAGGGTTAAAATCACTTAAAATACTTGCAAGAATACAAGGTAATTGTAGTATAAATGCTCATGCAAGGTCATTGTCCCCAAAGATTGTTTGACTAATTTGTAATTAAACTAACTCTTAATTAATAATTAAAAATAGATTTTATCGAAGATCTGAAATTTATGAATTTGAAAAGATTAATTAACAATAAAAGAAATCGGAAAGTTGAGAAATACTAACAGCAAAGAAGAAAAAACGTTTTTCTTTTAAGCTTAACAATTTAGAGAAAACTAGGGTTCAGCCATCACCGTCACAATCCTATGCAATTCTATCAATTACTTATGAATTTCTACATATAAGCTTTGAAGGTTAGGTTTTCCTAATGCATATTTTCCTTGTGATGTTCAAGTGAAAACATATATCTAACATGCAATCTGTCTGTGATGTTCAGATCAAATATAAACATGCAAGACTCATTAAGCTTTGTGAAAACCCTTTGAAAAACCATGCAACCCTTAAGACGTGATGTTCATCTTAAGTGAAATTACAATTATTAATCACAAGAAGCCAGCGTCAATTTAGGACTCTATCTTTCAACCTTAGAATATTAACCAAGAACATAGAGAACCCAAAGAATATTTTCTGTATATTTCTCAACATGCCTGTACAATGGCTACTCCAATTGGTAATAAAGCCACCATAGAGGTTACCACAGCAATTGTAACAAATTCTCAACTAAAACTTGACACGTGGCTAACTAACTAACCAAAACTGTTTTACAGTTTTGCCCTCCAACTCCTAATTCCTATCATTACCCCTCCCTTTGAAACTAAGTTTACAAGTATTGAAAACTTAATACAACGAAAACAGAGGTGCTACAGAAAACGCAACTTGAGTCATCTGGAATTGAAAGCAGCTTCAACCTGGGCAATGAAATCTGGAAATCTGGCCTTGAGGTCATTGTAGTCCTCCCAAGTGGCATCCTCTAGTGTGTGACTCTTCCAATGCACTAAGACATCCACCCCTACAACATTGCCACGTTTGACGAGCTTCCTTTCTAGAATAGCCAGTGGCTCATCTTGCACAATACCATCTTCAGTAATTCGAGGTAATGTTAAAGAAGGAGTCACGTGAGTTCCCAAATGCTTCTTCAAACAAGACACATGAAATACGGGGTGGATCTTACAACCAGCAGGCAATTTGAGTTTGTAAGCCACTGGTCCCAACTTCTCCAGTATCTCATAAGGTCCATAAAATTTGGGTAAAAGTTTATGGTAGGAGTGAGCTGCCAAGGATTGTAACCTGTAAGGTACCAACACCATATCCCCAACCTGAAATTCCCTTTCTGATCGATGTTTATCAGCTTGAGTCTTCATTCGATTTTGTGCCGTAAGGAGATTAGATTTCAGCAAGGTCAACATTCTGTCCCTTGCAGCCAAGCTTCTGTCAACATTGGCAAATCTTGTAGTGCCTGGCTCATATGGTGTAACAGTGGGTGGGGGTTGACCATAAACAACTTCAAATGGGGTTAACTTGGTTGATGTATGATAGGCTGTATTATAGCTAAATTCTGCCCAAGACAACCAAAGCAACCATTTTTTGGGTTGAGCTACAGCAAAGCACCTCAAATAGGTCTCCAAACACCGATTAACTACTTCAGTTTGGCCATCAGTCTATGGATGGTAACCAGAGCTCATCCGTAATGCTACATCATGCAATTTGAAGAATTCTTTCCAGAAGTCACTAACAAATATTGGATCTCTGTCACAAACAATAGAGCTAGGCATACCATGTAACCTAAACACATGATCCACAAAGATCTGAGCAATGGTAGCAGCTGAATAAGGATGGGACACTACTACAAAAATTGAAATAGACGACGGGGAAACGCCGTCGTCTTTTTCTTTTTCAAACCGTCGTTAAATCGACAGTCGTCTTTTTGAAAGTCAAACTACGACGGTAATTCACCGTCGTCTATTATATGTAAAAACGACGGTTTTTAAAAGAACCGTGGTCTATTACATGTAAAGACGACACTTTTTCTGAAAAAAACCGTCGTTATTGAATGTAAAGACGACACTTTTTTTTATAGAACCGTCGTCTATTAAATATAAAGACGACACTTTTTCTGAAAAAACCGTCGTCTATTTAAATGTAAAGACGACACTTTTTCTGAAAAAACCGTCGTCTATTTAAATGTAAAGACGACACTTTTTCTGAAAAAACCGTCGTCTATTTAAATGTAAAGACGACACTTTTTCTGAAAAAACCGTCGTCTATTTAAATGTAAAGACGACACTTTTTCTGAAAAAACCGTCGTCTATTTAAATGTAAAGACGACACTTTTTCTGAAAAAACCGTCGTCTATTTAAATGTAAAGACGACACTTTTTCTGAAAAAACCGTCGTCTATTTAAATGTAAAGACGACACTTTTTCTGAAAAAACCGTCGTCTATTTAAATGTAAAGACGACACTTTTTCTGAAAAAACCGTCGTCTATTTAAATGTAAAGACGACACTTTTTCTGAAAAAACCGTCGTCTATTTAAATGTAAAGACGACACTTTTTCTGAAAAAACCGTCGTCTATTTAAATGTAAAGACGACACTTTTTCTGAAAAAACCGTCGTCTATTTAAATGTAAAGACGACACTTTTTCTGAAAAAACCGTCGTCTATTTAAATGTAAAGACGACACTTTTTCTGAAAAAACCGTCGTCTATTTAAATGTAAAGACGACACTTTTTCTGAAAAAACCGTCGTCTATTTAAATGTAAAGACGACACTTTTTTTGAAAAAACCGTCGTTTATTATATCCAAAGACGTCTATTAAATC